CTTTTTTTTTTTTTTTTTTTTTTTTTTTGCTGTAGTCTGTAAAAACATTTTTGTAGTGTAATCAAATGAATTAATTAAATCTAATGAATTATTACTGTTGTAGTCTAATAGAACAGATCAGGGTTAAAACAATAATTAACCACTACCTTTTTATAAGTTCTAATTGGTTAAAACTTTCCGCGTGTTACACTTTACAGTCTCTCCTACTTTACAGCTAATATCACTTTAATATCACGTATAACTTCACTTTAATGAACTAGCAACTTTGAACTAAGTTAATGAAGATGCAATAACAACAACTACTACTACTACTTTAAAGCAAGAAAATGAATTAACAGATTACACGGACAGAGAGCATTTCAATATAGGAGAAAATGACCGCATACAATTCTTATACAAATGACTAATATATACACCTATACGATAGCGAAAACAATAATAATGGATAGTTTTTGTTGCTTACACACCTAATCGAAGGTCTTGTATTTACCGGGACTGACTTCCAAGATTTACATGTTGTCGCTGGTGGAGTCGCATGGCTTCACGGAACAAGAGCAGATCATGAGCAGACTGCAGTGCAGGATGTGGGTAAACTGTCCTTTTGCCCCCTCATGTGGACTGAGGAGTGCTAGCCTACTACTGGAGACAGCATGAACTAGGTCTAAAGCTTCAGTCAAATAATCTTACTGTCCTCAGCTTTTGAAGGAGCAACAAATCACATAGGCAGCCTGCGTAAACACCCTTAACATACGAGTTGAGTTTCTTTCCATCAGGAGTCACGTGTGAGTACATTCTTCTCATTAACATCATCATTATTAAGGGTTTATGCCAGTTCAAGTATGATTTATAAAGCTTAATGAACAAGACAGGCAGCCTGTCAGTTCACCTTAAACTTAACTTCTGACCTAATGCTGACCCTAATCCTTATCCTAATTTAAAGGCTTACCTTGAGGAGCAACAGAAGTTTAAGATAATGTTGTTGAGTCTATAGTTTATCTGACCTGAATGACTGCAATGCAATAAAGCTTAAGTGATTTTTTTTTACCGCAATAAAAACATACACCATGAAACTAATTGACTTAAAAAAAAGGCTAAGAAAAATATATTTTTTAAGTTTTTTATTTAGTTGTAGTTTTTATTTGCATAACATGTAAATTCATACAGAGATAAATTTATAAATATTTTGTATTTATTGTTTATAAGATAGACTGTTATTAGGGCTGTAATACTGTAGCCATATAAAACAGCTAAAATAAGATTATTTAAAAAGATTATACAATCATCCCAAATATCTGCATGTAGGCTAGTTGCATTCTGTTCTGTATACAGTACTGTTTTTGAACACACCATATTCGCTCTATAAGACCTGAGAACCAGCTCCTGACTCATTTACAGCCTACCTGTATGATTACATCTCATTAACAAGACCAGTAAATAAATTCAGCAAACTAATCTGCAGGAAGTGATTCAGCTTAGGAAACATGCCTGTCACAGTGGGTGTTATCGTGACTGTAAATAAATTTCTAAGTAATGAACCAGTCATCAGGATGTCATTGACCGACGTGTGCAAATTATGGCTGGTATGTGGGCTTGATTCAGCAAATTGAAAATCGGTGGATTTCACATTATCGTTCGACCAGTGACAGTGCCCAAGCATGGCATCATCAAACAAATATGCCTGTATATTTGGACAGATTTAAAAAAAAAATGCAGGTGATTTTCACTAGGATGTCACCTTAATGTATGACTTATCAGCAAACTGACAGTTGTTCTTTATTACAGATCTGCTGAATCATTTGTGCAACTTTGGCCAACCTCATAAATACACACAATCTAATCAGGGCAAACTGGCTTTCTTGTACAAAGGCACTTTCCAAATAACTACAGACTAAATTATTGACTATGCTCCATCTTACACAGTAAGACCTCACAAGTCCCTTGTATGGCTGACGTTTTCTTTTTTTTTCATATGCCAGGTGATGCCTTCACAGGTTGCTCGGTGCCACCTGTGTTTTTGATAGGTTGATCCTGTTCATCTTTTTTGATGGATGCCATGGCAGTATTGGCTGAAGCCAGACGGGCTCGACCTGGGGAACCCAGGCTATCAACATTAATGGCAGGTTTGGACATCCAGCTCAGGATGCGTGTGGAGGGACGGTGGTGAACAGTTGGCGAGAGCTGTATCCAGACATCGCAATTCCCAATGCACCCAGAAAAACAGCGACCTGTGGCACTACAAATTTGTGAGCTCTGTGGGTCACAGTCTGTATGGCGGATGTCTGAAAGAGAGTGGAAATACATGGTTATATTGTATGATGAACTGACAAACATTAACCTTCAGATTATGTTTAATTAGAAACACATTAACCTGCCTGACTGATGACTCATTTCATTTGGCTGTGAAATATTAAATGTTAAAACAATCACAGAATACACTAATGTAAATTATGATAATTCTACAACAACTTATAATGGAATGTAAATCCAACAAATCTCTAATGTAATAATGGTCAATTAAAGACCTAACTGGAGATAATAGCAATTGAAATCAAACCATGTGGAACGTTTTTGAATTATAGAACAAGATTATTCACAATTTCATCAACATCCAGTCAGCTTTATGAGTTTAGCTCTGCAGTTCTGCCCCAATTTAGGTGTAAATATACATATTGTACATATACAAAACTATAAACATCTGCAGGTGATTAATTCAGTTTATCTGTACTATTCTACAGGTTTTTTATTCATAACCTGCACATCTGCCCAGATTCTTTTACTCACCTGCAAGTATCGGATGTGTCCTAAAGTAGGACGTGGAAGACCAAAAAACATATCAATTTAGTCAATAGGCCTTGGAGCTTTGATTGTGAGCAGGACCTTTTCCTCTGGTTCCTTGTTTCTCTCCTGACAGAAAGAGGCTTCTTAGAGGATAGAGCTCACTCAGGTAGAACTGCACGTCTATCACTGTCTTGCTCTGATCAGAGCTTATATAGAGAGAGGCCCTGTCTGTCTGTCTCTCTCTCAATGAGATTACCTAAAAGAGGCTAGCACGCACATGGACATGCTAGCTATGACGACAGTGGCGACAGTGAGGGATGCAGGGTTAAGTTGTTGTGAAGGACGACATCCTTGTATAGCCTGGCATGTGTAAAGCCGGAAAGGGCTATAAAGTCTAATCACACAGGTCAGAGGTGACCCAGTTATCAGAAAAACAAAACAACATTAAAAACTAAACAAGTAAAAATAAATAAAATAAAATAAAACATAAAAAAAAATATAAAACAAAAATTAGATAGTAATACCACGGTACTTTATGACTAGCATATTCATACACCAAGAATATCTATGTATTACTATAGAATAAACTATAGTACTATGGGTAACTCCACGACAGTTTTTGTATGAGGCATAACTTGATAAGGCATCAACTTTTCTGAGGGGTTAGAAGTCAAACTCTAACTGAAGAGAAAATATTTAAAGTGAATTTACACTACCATTCAAAAGTTTTTTTTTCCAGATCATATTTTTCACGTTTTTGAAATAATTCTTGATGCTCACCAAGGCTGCATTAGATCAAAAATATTAAACAGTAATATTGTGAAATATTACAATTTTTTTGAATATATTTTTTTTGAATATATTTATTTAAATATTTTTTAAAATGTAATTTATTCCTGTGATGACTGCTGAATTTTCAGCAGCCATTACTTCAGTGTCACATGATCCTTCAGAAATTATTCCAATATGCTGAGTTGGTGTTCAAGAAACATTTATTATTATCAATGTTCAAAACAGTTGTAATGCTTAATATTTTCATGGAATTGAATTTTTATTTTTAAGAGGCTTTACTGTAGCTCAAACATTAATATAATGCAATAAATGCAATGGAAAGGAATAAATTTTTCAGGATTCTTTGATGAATAGAAAGTTACAAAGAACAGCATTTATTTGAAATATAAACCTTATTTAACAATGTAAAAGTCTCTACTGTTACTTTTGATCAATTTAATGCATCCATTAAAAAAACTAAAAAAACCTTACTGACCTCAGACTTATGGATGCTAGTGAAGATCCTAGAAACAAAAACAGGATATCGTAGATGTTTCTGCCAACATTATGTCTCACTTATTCGCCTAGTTAAACATCTGTTTGTTGCTACACTTCAAAATGAACCTGTCTATTGTTCTGCCTCAGGGTAGAGAACATAATAAACGAGGGACAGCAGAATATTGTCTTTCCCAACACAGTACTATAGACCCTTCAACCACACAATGTTTTATCTGTCTGTGAGTTCAGGGCCTCACTGGGGACTGACAATTCTTGTGTTTTATGAGGACCTGTTAAATAAACAGACCTCACTCAGTGGCAGATCATTTAGTAGGTTTAAATTAAATTGCTTTTCCGAGCACTTATGACTGGCAGATATTTGCTCCACCTCTTTGCAGGATTGCCTCTCATCTTCTGAGGGCATATTCAGTCCTGATCCATAAACCGTAGCAATTTTAGTTTGTTCTTTTCAGCCACTATAATAACATCATCCCACCTGTTGTGTCCTCCACATCATATTCCAGCTGAGAGTAACAGCAGGGTTATTATTTCTAAACACTGTAACCTAATGGGAAGCAATAAAAAACGTATTCTCTGTCTGAGCCAACCCAGATCTAGGTGAACCTATAATGGCATCCAAACCTATGTTGTGGGTTGCCTTGCGTCACAGATTAGCACAAACACACGGAGCAGTCTAGAGATGCTTGTATAGCTAAAGTCATCCTTCCTTGACGTCATGGATAAGCCATTGAATCAGTTTAAATTGATCATAGTATGTAGTACACTGCAGGTATAGGTCTATCAAACAATCATTGAAAACAAGCACACGTTTGTTTTTCTCTCACAAATTGAATTAAAACTTTAATAAATATCTTAACAACTGCACTAAAACATATTTTTCTAGTCACACTGAAAGTCACAGTGGCTCGTCACATTGATGGCCCAAAGTAGCTCATTGAATAGAAAAAGAAAATGTAAATGAGGCACTGGTTTGGGTAAATGATGTTAGCGAGCAGTCTACTGTGCAAAAGCTTAAAAGTCATGATCCAAACAGGCTGTGAGATCAGTGAGGGGCTGCTGACCTTGTGATGTTAAGATAATTAGCTGCTAAGAGGCTAAACCACAGACTCCTCATAATGAGCTGAAGAACGATACTTTAGTGTTTGTTTTGAAGAAATATACTTTGTGGAACATCTCTGAGAGTGTACTGGTGCCCTATGAAGAAAGAACAAGCAGCAGAGAAAAAATATATTTTTCTTAGGTAATTATTAATGTGAAGGCAAGATAAATTAGAATATATCATTCTTGGTCTTCAAAAGGAATCCAAATTGTTGCTGCAGCTGATTGATGGCGAGTTTCTGGAATTCCTTGACTATAAAACAGCATGACTGAAGATCTCTTTCATAATGAGATATTACAATCAGAGACTTGCTGGTTATTCACAGTCATTTTCCTCTCAGGCACTGAATCTGAGGGCGTCATGTCCTCTGCTGTCTCTGCATGGGCAGAATCTCTGCCAGCCAATACTCAATAAGAGTGCAGACTACTGAAACCTCATCTGTAAAACAAGAAAGAGAAAGAAACAATCATCTAAATATCACATTTACCCATGTTTATGTGTGTTCTAATGTTATCGCCAAGGTTTTATCTATTTTTGCTTTCTACTGTCTGAATTTGGTTGATATTTTGGCCAGATATCTCTTGTAAAAGAGATCAAAATCACAATGGGACTGGCCTGGTTAAATAACTGAAAAAAAAAAAAAAAAAAAACTGCTTTATTGAAATGCACCATTGCACCTGTATTTCCATTCAGATTTTTGTTATTAGGAAGTTTGAGGGAAACCACACTGCTTCAACAGCAGAGTAACAGGGTCAATGACCTGCTGCAACTACTGGTGAAAATAATGGCGTATGGGTGAAAAAACTGGATAAATGGCATGTCCTGTGGTTGTCGTGGAGACGGAGGCTATGTTTAGGAGTCACCATGGACACCTGTGTGGAATGCCCTGAATCTGCTGTGTGCTTGTAGCTCCTCAGTAAAACACTGATCATCTTGTTAAGGTCTAATCGACTTCACAAACACACGCACACATACATACACACATGCATGAAAAGTCATGCCAGCAAAAACACTATGGACACATTCTTTGTAAACACAGATTTTTTAAAATTGTATTTATTTTATTTTAATTTTAATAAAAGTATTAAAGAAAAACAAAAATTTATTTTGGCAGTAAGATCAAATGTTGAGTAAAGAAAGACATCTTAAAGGATTATGGCTAATATTTCTCTGAGTTGTATTCTATTGTTTGCAGCCATTACTATGAATCAAAAACACATATGCTTGATGTTCAGACATGTGAGGTCTAAGCACCCTCACTCACCTGCAGGTAATGTGCTTGTATCTCTGAATTCTTGCAGCTTTGATTTTAACTGCTCTTCATTCTTCACCAGTACAGCCCTGAGTCCACACAGCCTTGAGATCTCAGCAGGGGGCAGTGTCCTGCCTGAGAGACGAGAGAACAGAGACTCCGCTGCAGTGAGGGAAAGAGAGGGGCCGCTTTCTACACAGGAGCCTGAAGAGAAGAGTAGCAATATATATGTTTATTTTATTGCTATTATATATACATATATATGAATAAACACATTTATTCAATAAAGATGCATTACATTTTTACATTGTAAAAAATATTTGTTTCATTTAAATGCTGTTTTTTTTTTTGTACAGTATATCCTCAATGTCCTTTATATCCTTAATATGGAAAAAAGTAATAATTTTAGTGTATAGTTAAATGTTATACCAGAGGATTTGCGATCAGAGAGGTAGATCTCCTGTGTGGTACGAAGGAAGTTGAGCACCTCCTCTGAATTTCCATCTCCACTCTGTGCATACATGAATTCAACAGCTCTTGCTCGAGGCATCAATCCAAGAGTGAGGACTTTTTCTTTGTGACGTTTTTTCTTCATCTTCCTCTTTCTGTTCTTGCTGAGCCGCTCTGTGCTGACTGAGCTTCTAGTGTCCCCTTCATCACTGGGATGTGCAGCATCTGTTTGCCCCAGCATATTGCCCTCTGCTAGAGGGGTGGATACTTCCTCTGTGGTAATGGGTAACCCTTTTTTCTTTCTCCTCCTTTTCCTCCTCTTAAGTAACTCATGGTCATCAGCATCTGTAAAATAAAAAAATGGCTCATTGGTGAGGAGGATTTTGGACTTTCTCACAGCATTAGAATTATTACAAAGAGTTTTTAAATCTGACAGGCATCAGGCTCCATTCTCTAGAAAAAGTGGTTTAAAGTGGTTGATTTGCCAAGAACAGATTTAAATAAATGTACTATAACAACTGAATGACATCAGTTACAGCCTCATTACATTTACATTTATGCTCTTGGTAGACTCTTTCAAATAAAATCATCCTACAAGAAATGTGCACATACTATACTAAGAGGCAATTACCAGAGTGGATAGCACACACACACACACACACACACACACACACACACACACACATATCCCTTTGCCCTTTCAGTAATTTTCTGCAGGCTTTTCAAGCTCCTCAGGACTACACAAACATACTGAGATGTGCTAAGCTATTGATTTTTTTCATCTGTATTCAGAACCAAGAAGCCGACCGCACATCTGAGCAACACACTGCAGGAAGCAAAGATTCAGCTCATCAGCATACAGCTCATACGATGAGACAATCAGAGAAAATCAATCATCTCAAACGGTCTGATTACCTTTTGTTTCAATATTTGTGTGAATTAAACCTACAAATTACTAACTTTGTGTCTTTTTCACGATGAGAAATCCAAACTATTTTTGAATAAGGTTGTTAATTCTGAGTATTTATTCTGGTTGCTGTGGCTTAATAATATGCTCCACTGAATCAAATGATTTGATCATTTGAATCCACAACAACATATCACCCAAACTTTAAAAACAACTGATTAGTCTAAATAATTCAAAAGTAAAATATAAAACAGGATGTCAATATACAGTTGAAGAATGGCTAATAGTATCCACAGTGACAAATAATTTGTCAGGATTATTTGCAGGCATTACTAGGATCACTTCACCACAACTACCGATATCCATTTCCTGCTGGAGATTGAATGAAAGAGAAATCAAATAAAAGGAAGGATGGTGATGTTTTTAATCTAAGAGATGAAGTGTTATTAATCAGATTCAACAGGTTTGTTAACAACTCACCGGCTGGGATGTCCTCTGAGTCAATGGGATCTGGATTGGATGGTGTGACCAAATCCTCCTCACTATTATTGAGGTAGCCTTCAGGAGGAGGAAGAACAGTGTAGAGCTTTTTGCCTGGTACAGCTGTACTCTTCTCATTACCTAAAAGAGGAAGAGAAAGAAAGAGCAGTTAATTCCCTTTGTTAAGACTTCAAAGGAATACTTTGCCCCCAAAAAATGAAAATTTGCTGAATATGCACTCAACCTCAGACCATCCAAGATGTAGATGAGTTTGTTTCTTCATCAGAAAAGATTTGGGAGAAATTTAGCATTACATCACTTGCTCACCAATGGATTCTCTAACTGGAAGTTGGTCACCAGCATGGTTTCTGGCAAACCTGCTTAACTTTGCTGGTCAAGCTTGCTAATAAGCCTGGTGTGGACATAGTGTCCCACTAGTTACCAGCACCCAGAGCACATACTGGTCTTTTCAATAAACTGCAATGTGATCAATCTTAAAGTAATAGTTGTAGATGTAAATGAGTTTGTTTCTCTATCTGAACAGATTTGGAGATATTTAGCATTACATCACTTGCTCACCAATGGATTCTCTGTAGTGAATGGGTGCCGTAAGAATGAGATTTCAAAGAGCTGATAAAAACACCAAATAATCCACGAGTAATCACTGCAAAGGATCCATTTGAGAGAAAGTGATGTAATGCTAAATCCAAATCTGTTGCAATGAAGGAACAGGTTCATCTACATCTTGGATGGCCAGAGGGTGAGTGCATTTTCAGTTTTTCATGTTTTGGGTGATCTATTCTTTTAATGACTTAAGCAAGTACGAAGTAAACTCAATAAGACCTGACTTATTGGGTGTGATGGACTGAGGTCTTTCTACAGGTGGCACAGGTGCAATTATGCTCCGCTCCTGGGCAGCAGGTTGCAGCACACTCTGCTTTTGGGCTGCAGGATACAGTCTTTGCAGGACCTTGGACTGGAATACTAATTTAGAACATGCACATATATATAATTTTAAATCAGACATTTCTTGATGCACCAAACTAGAATTTTCGTTAAACGTTTGTATTCCAACCATGGAAGCCAAATTAATGCAGCTCGTTTATAGTCAAGACCATGAATATAGGAATGTCAACAAAAAGCACGTACAGCGGACAAGGTTCTCCAGCACGCGGGCATTGTAAACAAATTAAAATAGTTTTATTCAATGTTTACTTCTTACCTTCTTTTCTGAGGGACATATCAGCGGCTGAGATTTATAATGACCTTTCCCCCCTAGCGTAAACAAAATTACACACCTTTATTTTAATTACAATCCACTTTTCGAAGAGGTGTAAACAGTGGGTCAATAACCAATGAATGCTAAGACATAGCTCAAGTTATCAATCTTGAATTTCTTACTAGTTTAAACATTTAATACCAATCCAGGAGAAAATCGCACATATATGCCATTAAACTGCAAACAAAATCCCTTCGTGCTGCTGCTTCTCTGCGTCGTCGTACTTCCGACCTTATCATGATGGCGGCGGAGCGTGCAGCGTCCTAAACACCGCCATCCAGCGGCGTGGACAAGCGCTACAGCAGCTCATCTGCACCCGCGGGGCGGCGACTGCTAAGCACTATGCACTCTGAAAACTTCGCTGCCATCCTCAACATGTAGCCGCAAGCTCAAGGAATACCTAGAATGTCAGCGTGGAAGAAGGTACGTTCAGCAAATTGTGCATGCTTGTTTCTTGAAACGTGCAGAAGAAAACTAAAGTCTACTCTTCTCTCACGAGTCTTGTGCGGCAGCGTGCGGGATGCAGAGCTCAGCATTACATCACTCACCTGCCGAGAGAAGGCGTGACACTTTCACCTGTCGCATTTCCAGAGGATTCTACAAAAATTCCGAACATTTGCTTATCTAGGCGTGACATAAATGTAACTTTTATTATTACCCAAGTTTATTTAACATTTTATTTAACAGTGTATTTAACGTTCTTGAACATTGATCATGACTTGTAAAAGACTTCTTACGGTCTTTGTTTAGCCTAGAACTGGCTGTAGTTACATTGGAGTGCAATTTTTAAAACTGCTAATTATCCATTTTTATTATGCATGCAAGATTAAATATGTATATCTCAAACAACATTTTGTAAAGTAGACTCACATGCAAACTGCACTGATACAGTTTATAGTCATCCAGTATTAGGTTATATGGGTAAAGGTCAAATTCTGAGAATTGGTCATATAAACAGTTTCATTATGATCGACCACTAATCTGAATATTTGGGGTGACATATTCATTCCTGAATGTTGTGCTTACTCAATGTTGGGAAAACATGAAATTGTAAATATTACTATTCAGATACATTTTTTTTAATTGATCAGAATCAGATGATGTGGAATGTTTAATTGTACATGCAGATTTCCATTATTATTACATGTAGATTACCTTTGCCATCATCTAACACTCAAAGTTAATATTTAAAAACACTAAGACTTTAATAACACTGTTAAATGTTATCTTATGCAAATCTCAAAATGAATATACATTTTTTATAACATGCATTATAATGTTGTGAAGCCTAAATTCACTTGTAGCATTTAAAACAATACATTTTTAATTTATTTAGATAAAATAGAATGGAATTTAATTATCATCCATTTATTGGTTATCGGCCATAACATAATTAGGCAATATCAGGGCTAACCTATTGCAATCAATCAGTTTTGTAAAGAAAAAGTCACATTTGTTGTGTGAGTTTAGATGGCATTTACACCTTAGTCCAATTGAGAAGTAATTGATGCTGTTGGGTTAACAGTGGAAGGCTGTGGCTGACTGTGTATATTGCTGGAAAAGCTTAAGGATTCAAAGATTGCTTCCTATCCTACAGTACAAATGTGTGCGTGTGTGTGTGACTGTGACAGAGCAAATTTGACAAAATATGCATCCATTATCTAAGCTGTTCTCTAAAATGACTCTAAGATACCAATTTTAAACATATTACATAAGCCAGCAGCAGATGCAGTACAAAGCTTCCCAGATGCAGCTGCCTGTCAATGTAAGTGCAGGGTGCAGCATTCATTTGCAGTTTCAAACACCAGCTCTACAGAAATAACTCAGACGGGCAGAATCAGCCTTCTCTGTATCTTGCACTTATGCTGATAGGCAGCACCTTTAACTGGGGATCTGAAGGGTTCTGTTGTCCATGCTGAGAGTTTATTAAAGCTTCTTATATAGCTGCTTTACCTGTAAATATCTTTAAAACATCGTTTATTCAGTTCAGTGACTTGACTTAAAAAATACTTCAAATCAGTTTAACACACAGGTGTGGAATTTTGTTCTAGTTACTTGGAATGCAGTCAGTGATTGGCCAATATATGATAGTATTTGTTCAATTAATGATGACCATTTCGCCATTATTTAATATTAGCAATTTCTGCATTTTAGTTTAATTAGAGGCATCAGTCCAAAATTGGAAGAATATAATGTCAGGTTATTTTTTCCAGTTCAGTAGACTGTTGTTTTTCTTAGTCAGCTTTCAAAAGTAGGCTACAGCTGTCCAGCTGTTATAAGCATATATGTTTCATGCCTCAATTCACAAAAAGTCTGGATCAGAGTTTAATGTTGGTTTAATTGGTCAGTTGCAATTTATGCAGGCAAAATTATTATTATTATTATTATTATTATTATATATATATTTTTTGTATAATGAGCACTAAACTGCATATATATTTGACCATACTTTAATAGTCTGTCCCTACTACAGTGTATTATGTGGTTCATAATGCAGGTTCCTTTATTGTTCT